CAAATCTTGATTAGGAAAAATGCTATTTAGAGACCCATGCACCTGAGAGCTGGGCAGCCCAACCCCACCCTTCAAGTGTCCACGGGTTTAGCCAGACCACATCCTTTTGGCCCCACGCTATTCACTTTCACTAAACTTTGCTTTACTTTAGTGCTATTAGACTATGTAACAAGCACATCATAAGAAACAGCATCACAGAAGAAGTTGCATTTATTGTAACTGTTTTGTGAGTGGATGTATATTACATGTCAGCATACATTTCTTATGAGAAATGACAGATAATTATCCCTGGTCTTAAAATCCAGCACTGGGATTTCCCTGGTGGCTTGGTGGTTAAGACTCTGGGCTTTCACTGCAAGGGTAGGGGTTTGATACCTGGTAGAGGAACTGAGATCCCACAACCTGCATGGCCTGGCCAAAAACAAAGTAACTAACAAACAACACCCCAGTACTGGCTATGGTTTCCCTAGTGACTGGTTTATTTCCATCAAATGAACACTAGTGCACATGGCTGATGATTTTTCTCCCTTTGCACAACCCACTATTAGGAAGCCAAGAACCTCAACAAAGCTACAAGACATCAAAGCCTGCATTATATGCAGCATTAGTTACCCACCCTCGTTGTCCCTTTTCCCCAGTTCCTTCCTGTTTCACATTTTATTTCTTCTAGGTCTTTATTAAACATTTCTTGCACCTTCTCTATCTTTGTCTCCAGGCTATTTATCTGTAACTCCATTTTGTTTTCAAGATTTTGGATCATTTTTACTATCATTATTCTAAATTCTTTTCCAGGTAGATTCCCTGTCTCCTCCTCTTTTGTTTGACTTGGTGGGCATTTTTCATGTTCCTTTACCTGTTGGGTATTTCTCTGCCTTTTCATCTTGTTTAGATTGCTGTGTCTGGAGTGGGCTTTCTGTATTCTGGAGGTCTGTGGTTCCTTTTTATTGTGGAGGTTTCACCCAGTGGGTGGGGTTGGACGATTGGCTTGTCAAGGTTTCCTAGTTAGGGAAGCTTGCGTCGGTGTTCTGGTGCGTGGAACTGGATTTCTTCTCTCTGGAGTGCAATAGAGTGCCCAGCAATGAGTTTTGAGATGGGTCTATGTGTTAGGTGTGACTATGGCAGCCTGTAAGTTGATGCTCAGGGCTATGTTCCTGCGTTGCTGGAGAATTTGCGTGGTATGTGTTGCTCTGAAACTTACTGGCTCTTGGGTGATAGTTGGTTTCAGTGTAGGTGTGGAGGCTTTTGGATGGTCTCTTATTACTTAATGTTCCATGTAGTCAGGAGTTTTCTGGTGTTCTCATGTTTTGGGCTTAAGTCTCCTGCCTCTGGATTTCAGTTTTATTCTTCCAGTAGTCTCAAGACTTCTCCAACTATACTGCACTGATAATAAAACTTCTAGGTTAATGGTGAAAAGATTCTCCCCCGTGAGGGACACACAGAGAGGTTCACAGAGTTACATGAAGAAGAGGAGAGGGAGGAGGGAGATAGAGATGAGCTGGAGGAGAAAAAGGGGGACTCAAGAGGAGAGAGACAGATATATGCAGTTGTCTGTTCCCAGAGTGTTCTCTGTAGCCCAGACACCCACAGAGATTCACAGAATTGGATTGGGAAGAGAAGGGGAAAGGAGGAAACAGAGGTGATCTGGGGGAGAAAACAGAGAGTCAAAAGTGGGAGAGAGTAATCAACACACTCCTAAATAGAAATGGGAACTGAATATTGGATTCTTAAATGTCCAAAATTTATATCACATACTGAAAAACAAAGATGAAAAATCTAGAGTAGAGGTTAGACTCTTAAAAATACAATATTAAAAACAAAAACACAAAAAATTTTAGAAATATATATGAAGTTCGGTTTAAAAATAGGGCTTCTCTCTCTCTCTTTTTTTTTTTTTGCAAGGTTATAGTGAAATGAAAATGAAAATTAAGGAGTAGTAGAGGAGTAATAGAGGACTTTAAAAGGAAGTAAGAAAAAGAAAAAAAAAGAAAAAAAAACAAGAAAAAAAATTTTTTTCCTAATTAAAAAAATCATAAAATCTATGAAAATGAAAGTTAAGGAGTAATAGGGGAGTAATAGGGAATTTTAAAAGAAAATAAAAGAGAAAAAAGAAAAGAAAAGAAAAGAAAAAAAAAGGTAAAAATATATCTAGGAATTTCTCTGGAGCTGTTGCGGTCAGTGTGGGCTCAGTTCAGTTTCAGATAGCTCCTCGTTCCAGCTTACACTTCTCATTGTCTATAGGCCCCTTCCGGTGTAGTCGGTGTTATCTACAGGGGTTTTAATCTGTTGCACCGGTCCCTTCTGAAGCGGTTCCCTTTGTTTATTTGGCTTCTGTTTGCCAGTTTCTTCAGTGCCTAATTTCCGCCCTGACACAGGCAGACGGAGGTGGTCTCTTGTTCAGGTTGCTAGTTCCGTCGCGCTGCGGGGAGGGACGGGCGCTGCTTTCCCGTCTACGCTGCTCAGGCTCCCGGCTGCTCAGTATGGAGCGTGCCCTGCGCTGCGCGTGGTTCCAGCCCTCAGGTGTTCCACAAAAGCGTGGACTCGGCTGCGCCTGCGTTTTGTGACTTCCCCGGCCCAAGCAGCTCAGGCAGCCAGGAGCTTGTCGGGCGCACTCTCCCCGGGTGTGGTGCACCTTCTCCCCTCCGCGGCCCCAGCCCCAGTCCCCGCCCCCTCCGGTCGGGTGCCTGCGCCCTGTGTCTCGCTGTGACCCTCCCGGCAGATGTCGACCATCCAGAATCTCAGGAAGACTTTGGTTAGAAACTGGAGGCCTGTTTGCAGTGTGTTAGGGGATGCAATCCTTGGGGTTGAGCCTGCCCCTTTCCCCTCCCCCCTGCCTCCTGCCTCCGGCGGGGCTGGGCCGGTCCGCAGCCGACTAGCTCCTCTGGACTTGCTCGGTCCCTTTGTTCTGTGACTGGCCGGCAGTGTGTTCGGGATGGTTAATTTTCTCTCTCTCTTTTGCTGTCCCACAGTGTAAGTTGGTAACATTCAAAAGCTCCCTCTGATTGCCCTCAGGGCATTCAGGCCCAGTCCGTACCCTAAGCAATGCCACCTGCTCCTCTCCGTTCCGCCCCCACTTGCTGGTGGTGGGTGCGGGTGTCTGGGGTGCTTTTCTGCTGGGAGTTGCTTTTAGGCACGTAATCTGTGGGTTTTATTTATTTTCCTCCCAGTTAGGTTGCCCTCCGAGATTCGAAAACTTCCCCCAGACCCGCCAGTGCGAGGATTTCCTGGTGTTTGGAAACTTCCTCTATTAAGACTCCCTTCCCAGGACAGGTCTCCGTCCTTAGCTCTTTTCTCTCTCTTTTTATCCTTTGTATTTTGTCCTACCTCCTTTCGAAGACAGTGGGCTGCTTTTCTGGGGGCCTGATGTCCTGTCCTTTAGTTTAGTTCAGAGTTTAGTCCTTCAGTGTCTGTGAGCCCAGAATAAGGCATGGTAAGAACTTTTGTTATTTCCCAAGACACTTTTTTCTCTTTTGTGAGACTCAAGTCCCTGATACATTTCTCTTGGTTCCAAGAAGAACAAACTCAAATGAAAAACAAAAAATCAAAACATAAAACCAAACAACGTCAATGCCAATATTTCAACCCAGACTCTCAGCAGAACTGAATCCAGCTCACTGTAAAGCCTGGCACTGAGGCTGAGAAAAGGAAAACAGGTCTCTCACACTTTACATGCTGAGCACATTGAGCTCATAGATGCCAGCATTCTAAATGGCTCGCTTGCTGTTAATAGATTCACTGGCACTGAAATCCATTTCTTTTCTGGGGGATATTTAACTTTTATTGTATCTTTACTCATGGTCAAAAGACATCGGCAAATTTGCTAAAGTGATCGAAGATACTCTTCTTAAAGGCATTCCTGAAGTCTTGCCTTCATATCTTTGTATGTGAGCTTGTCTTCTTGGAAAGGAAAACCAGAAATGAGTTTTATAGGATATAAGGTTTTAGTAGTTGTAGAAAGCCAAGGTTAAAAAAACAAACAAAAACCAACCTTAGTAGAACCACCAATGAAAAAACCTTTAAGATATACGCAACCTAAGAGTTCATCTCTGAGTGCATAAAATGACAAAATCCTCAACACCAAGAACCTGTCACATCCTACTGGATAGTGTATCCAGACCTTCTCTTTTTAATCTCTATCCCCATAGAGCCCAAGATGTAGTATGTATTCAATGCACAGTCGCTGAATTAATGAGTAACATCGCTCACTCTCTGTCCATGGAATTTCCCAGTCAAGGCCTGACTTAGTGACTGACCACAAGTACCTCTCATTCTGAAAGGTTAGAGTTCTCCTACAACCCCAAGACACCCAGGGGAACACAGCGCTTGCGCGCGGGGCAGGCGGGCATTACCTGTGATGTGACTGGTACTGAGATCCATCCAAACCATGAAAGAAATCTCTGCCATTCCTCAGCTCCAGGGCAGCAATTTTAATTTCCTTTATTTCTTCCCTTGTCAAAACACACCTTACAGATGACATTCCTACAAGCAACCACTCTCATGGGTAGACTTAGGTTAAAGTGTCATTCCCACTGTGCTAGTACAATCTCTGTCTACCTCTCTGCCACTCAAGAAAATATATCAGAACACAAATGAACGAGGATGCCATTACTCTGGGAAGTATCATGAATTTGTGGCGAATTATTGAAAAGAGTAAATCATCTGCCATTTTGGTGTTTCAGATAATATTAGTTGTACATGACCTATGGAGGATTTCACAGTGATGGATGTGAAAGTTCACCGGGATGCCAAGAATGAGAGAGTGCTTCTCTATAGAATCCACCACTGAGACACACCATCTAGGAGATCTTCCCAAACCATCTCTGAGGCTCACATTAACCCCAACATACTGGTCTGTACGAACTCTGTCATGCATGTGAGATTCAGGAGAACCACAGTGATCATCTCTATGAGTGGGCACAGCTCACATGGAAACATCTGCAAACGCATACCACTCCACTCTGCGCCCTGACCCCGGAGAGGAGGACGCACAGAAGCCCACTCACCACGCCGCCGCCAGCCGAGTGTATGAGCACAGACATCCCTTCCCGAAGGTTGGCGACTTCGAAGAGCATCATGTAGGCGGTGACGAAGTTCATGGGGAAGGCAGCGGCCTCAGAGAAGCTCATGTCCTCGGGAATCTTGTAGACAAATTCCACAGGTGTGCACACCACCTCTGCCCAGGCGTTGTAATTGACAAATGCCATGACACGGTCCCCGATCTGGCAAGAGGGAAGCACGGGGTTAGTGGAGGTTTCTTGGTCTTTTTTGAGAGATTTCTCAAATACACTTAACGATCTAGCAAAAACTATAGAGTCCTTCCCAGGAAAAAAGAAAAAAGAAAGCTTAAACCCTCAAATATGCACACCTTCACCTCACCTGCCTTCTGAGGCATTTGTGGATGCTCTGAAACCAATCTCTGCAAGCTTCCCAGAGGCCATGGAAGCCAGGGTCTCTATCCCTCTTCCAGAGCATAAATATACGACGTGCACCACATCGCACGCCTTGGAATGTTAGTGTCAGAAGCTCACGTTACCGATCCGACCTCTCATCTAATCTCTCTGTTTCAGGACGTGGAGGGTCAAGGGGGCAGGACTGGGAGTCGGTCTGCTCTCTTTGGCTCTCTCCCACCTCATACTGATTCCCTGCCAGGCTAGTTCATGCAGGATTTGCATCAAAGGTTAGCATCAACTACTGATGGCATTAGATGTGAAACGTGATGCGTCAGAAAAGTCACCTAAATGTGATTGCAGGGAATTGAATAAAAGCAACCAGGCTCAGAGAGAAATGGGAGAATGCCAGCGGGTGTGAGGAGTGACAACCAGCCTTTATTGCACACGTGTTATACGGCAGACGTTATTCTAAAGCTGCCACGTGTTCCACCTCCTGATCAGAAGAGGCAGGGCTGAATACTGCCATCTTTTTTAAAATCAGTGGTTTACATAGCCATACACCAGGCAGAAAAGAAAAGAGTGAAAAGAAAAAAGTGGCCTTCCCTTTAAAGTGGTTATAATCGTGTGCTAAGTTTTTTTTTTTCCCCCATAGCATATCATTATTCAAGGGAAATACAAAGTAAATCATCATGAACAGCTTAGAGTTGCCAAGTACTAGTTCAATGGAACCATTCTGCTACCTGATGTTAGGCTTATACTGTGACTCTTCAATGCAATATTCAAATTGTTACAGTCATAGTGATTTCTCAGTAAACTAATGGCTTTCATATGTCTGTGTTTTAGTTTACTTTTTTTTTTTTAGTAATTGATTCTACTGTTTTCTTCTATTTAGCCTTTCTCTTTTACTTCTGTTCAACAAACAACAACAAAAGCCTCCCGTGAGACTGGTTTTTTTATAGTTCCATATTACAGATGAATGATGAGAGGTTTTTGCAGATACTTAAACTGAAGCAAAACAAAGGTCACATCATTGATCTGACCCAAGAGTCATGCAGTCAGAGAGTAGCTGAACCTGGATGTGAACATAGCTAGGCTGACTCCAGATACAAATAGCTAATTCATTACACCTATGTGCTACAAAGAAGACACGGACTTATATAAGGGTGTGCAACAGGGGAAACCTATCAAGTCTGGGAATATTAGTCTAAGGTCTTTAAATTTCAGTTTCCTTGGCTCTTACATGAGTTTAATATTAGGAACGGCTCCTTATGAGATTAAATAACACAACAGGCAAGCAACCTATGTGGCACGGTGCATGTAAACTGAGGAAAGAACAATCAATGCTAACTCTTAAAAAGACTGGTTCCTGATCTCCCATGGAACTCAGAGTTTAATGATCAAAAGCTAAATATCAACCCACTGAGTTTCATGAAGCAGAGGAAGAGCTGTCTAACGAGGAAACTGATGGATAGGAGAGGCTGTCTCATGGGCAGTGAGCGCCAATCCCTGGAAGCATTGAGAATAAAATGATGATGTCAGGAACATCATGGCCAATGTGAGGGCTTGGACCAGAGGATCGCTCAGGTCTAATATTGGCATCCTCCTTTTACAGAGTCATGCAAATCTAAAGCTCTATCGTAACACCACAGAGTAGCTGATTACCTGCAGTGTGAACAGAGTGTGGGAAAAGAATATCTCAACCGCCTTGACAGTGATGGTCGTGCTAGCCCAGCAGGGTTGTCTGCTCCAGGCCTCTCATTTCATTATCAAGATGGCAAAAAGGGGGTCAGCCATCAGATAAACCCTAATCTCAGAGTCCAGAGGTGGTAAACTTTTTTAAAAATATCTAATTCACCTCATTATTTGCTTCTGTTGGGGAAAAGAAATTAGTCCTTGGCAACGAAGCCCAAATGATTCCTTTTCTGCAGTGCTCCCAGCAATAATTTTTCAAGGCTTCCTTGTAATCGATCAAGCCAAGAGAGCTAGCTGTTCCGTGTGTTGCTGTGTGGAATTCTATCTCCAACATGATTGAAAATCTTAAGTCAGACTTATAGAGGGCATATTAGTATTGGTTTTTCTCCCCAATCATGCCCTGACTGGAAACCTGTAGGTGGCTTCTTTTATTTGTTTGTGCAGCTGAAAGTACTGGAGGAGGGGTGGAGGAGATGATGGGTCAATCTGACAATAAGCAAGCCAGGGCTAACTAGCAAAAGAAAGATCAAACATGAGGGAAAATATATATAATCAAGCACAGTGATTCCTCCCTATAAACCAAGGTCAACCCATCCCTAAAATGATGGGTTGTTTATCCAGTGCTCAGGATTGATAGAGCAAATGGTATGGTCTTTTCCTTTGGGACAATGTGGAGGAATGAAGAACAGATTGTATTTCTTATACACAGCATTTTCAGGGAGAGACGGTGCTGCCTCTGGTTATATTGCCTACCTGGGGACAGAAAATGTAAAGTCATGGAGAAGAAAAGAAAAAGCACATTTACTTCTCTCTGAACGTTTTTCTGCCGTGTTATCTGGAAACCACTGACAAAAAGACAGATGAGCTGGTTGAGGTGTCCAGACATGCATCATAATGAATTTGGAGCATACTGATATTTTCAAAGTATATTGAAGCTCCGAGGTACTGAGACCAACCAGCAGGCTCAAAATTGATTCCAAGGGGATTCTGGCATTGCCTTTTACAGGATTTTTCTTCCTGTATTAACCATCCAATGCAGCATTTGCAGGTGGGGAAGAGGGGTAAGGATTGCAGGACTGTAGGAAGAGCCAAAATTCTCTAGCGGTTTGAATTCAGGTTCACCTTCTACTTGCTCTCATTCTGACCTCATGGAGAATTACCAAACCCTTCTGAACTTCATGTCTAAGAGGATAAGAATCTTCACCTTGCAGGACTGTGATGGGGCTGGAAAACAGTAACTTGCCCATGTTTCCGGTTATGGGGGATTCTCAAGTGTGAGGTCTCTTCGTCTCTCCATAGGGAAGCATTAAAGTTGAGTGAGAGCTCTTATGCCTGATTTCCAATGGTTTTTCTTGCTCTCAACTATCACAGTTTTCTGTAGTTGATTTGCCCATAGGCTTTCAGTTTTTATAGACCAGATCTTATCTGATTTGCATGGTAATGGTAAAAAGGATCTTTTCAGTGATTAAAAATTTTGTTATTGGGAGTTACGAACACGTACAAAAAAGAGAATTATACAATAACCCTTTGTAGACTTGTCTTACTCCCCAAGCCACCAACCCATAGCCAATTCTGTCTCATTGTTAGATACCTCTACCCTTTGTCTTTAAATTATTCATCCAAAAATGCCCTTTCTCGATGTCTGAAGTAATAACGTATAAGTGATCACAAATGCATTGGTTAAATAGATACTTAGAGGCACCAAATTATAAAACACAGAGGCTATTTCTCACCAACCTTTGCATTTTGTAATTAACTTCTGAGCCTGATGTGATGGTGAAATGGGAGTCACAGGTAGAGAGAGAAGGGGTATATGCTTGACTAATCCATGGCCAAATCCATAATTGTGTTTATTTTAATCTTTTAAAAAATAGTTTTCTTTTTAAAAATCTTTTTAATAACTATAAAGTGAATAAAGAGGATGCTAAGGTTTCCCCTGGCCACTTCACCAGACTGTTGCCAGGAGCTGTAACAAGATGGTCCCTGAGAAAGGCATGAGACATTCGGAAAGTCCTATCACTTATAAGCATGTGTGAAATAGCTGATGGGCAGTTGCTAATAGGACAGGGGGCTCCAGGCCACTCTGGTGAAAACCTAGAGGGGCGGGGCGGGGCGGGGCGGGGCGGGGCTGGGGCGGGGCTGGGCGGGCGGGGCGGGGCGGGGGCGGGGGCGGGGGCGGGGCTGGGGCGGGCGGGGCGGGGCTGGGGCGGGGCGGGGCTGGGGCGGGGCGGGGCAGGGGGAGGTTCAGGAGGGAGGGGACATATGTATACCTATGGCTGATTCACTCGTATGGCAGAAATCAACACACTACTATGAGGCAATTATCCTTCAATTGAAATAAATTTTAAAAAGCAAATAACAAGAAGACACGTTATAGATGATTTCCAATGCATTTTGCATAATATTTTGTTTAATCTTGTATTATCTCAATAGAGTCCAGATAAATATCACCCTTTCAGTCAGAAGTCAAAGCATTACCTCAAATCCTTTAACGCTGTCCCCCAGGGCTTCAACAATCCCAGAACACTCAAATCCTGGCACCAGGGGGGTCTTGGGAGGGTTGTCGATGTTCCCCTGGCGCACCATCAAGTCAATGAAGTTCAAACCACTGTAAACAGCAAAAGTGAAAAGAGAGAAATGCACAATGAGATGGAAAGAAAGCACTGGCTTGGCTCTTCTTTCCTTCCCCTCCCCTCCCTCCGCTTCCTCCCCCAGTTCCTCTCTTCTTTCTTTTTTAACTTTCTGGCAAAGTGTGTCTAATATTAATGTGACTTAGCTAGATGTCACCCAAAAAGCAAAACAACCATCTCTCTAGACAGCTTATGCTTTCTCAGCCCTTCAGATGGCATCTGCAGCGTTCACGCTCTAATTCAAGAGAGAGCCTCATTGTCCCCACTCATAGCCTCCAAATGTACTGACCAGCCTGGTCATTAGCCATTCTAGCACTTAATTCAGGGTAAAAAAATACTAGGAAGAGTTTATACGAAGAAACATAGAAAGCAGCTAGACATAATGGCCACCCACCAATCTATGAAAAAGAAAGAGAAAAAAAGATCTAACTTAAAAGGTCTCAAAAAGACTGTCACAAGTAGCTCAGTTGGTAGACAATCCACCTGCATTGCAGGAGACCCTGGTTCCATTCCTGGGTCGGGAAGATCCCCTGGAGAAGGGACAGGATACCCACTCCAGTATCCTGGGGTTTCCCTGGTGGCTCAGCTGGTAAAGAATCTGCCTGCAATGCAGGAGACCTGGGTTCAGTCCCTGGGTTGGGAAGATCCCCTGGGGAAGGGAATGGCAACCCACTCCAATATTCTGGACTGGAGAATTCCAGGGTCCCAAAGAGTCAGACGTGACTGAGTAACTTTCACTTTCACTTTCACCCATCTCACAGACTTACACCAGCGCCGTGCCATAAAGGCTGGTCGTAATGGTGACTGCGCCATCCAGAGACCACGCTGGGTGCACCTCAGGACGGTGACTCGAAAGAGAGAGGTCAAAGGGACAGGCCAGTGGGTGTGGGAAGACTGGAAGGCTCATTTCAAGAACCTGAGTTGTCTCTGGCTGAGAGGAGCCATTTGGTATTTTCTATAGACATATTACTTTTGAAAGAAGAAAGTTATCATTAAACATGTCAAAGTCGTTGCCTTGGAAAACCACATACTTGATTCTAAAGATGCTACCAAGGTTCCAAACTATTGGCTTTGTTTTGTTTTTTAAGAGCTACCATTGAAAATTGCGTTTAATACCCATGAAGGAATGAAGTGAGAAAGCATGTATGTGAAATACATGAACGTGTATTTTTTTTCGCACCACATGTGGCTCTAACATACTTTCTGTTTTCACAAGCTGCCATCTAAGGAAGATGTGGGTTGGAGAAACCAAACTCCTCGGCCTGGCCCAAGGCTTATTAGTCTCTGACCACACCTTCTTTCCCAAGCAGAAGACTTGAACTCTCTCTCAAACACAGCTTGTCCGTTTCCTCCTGGGCCTCTTTGGGGCCAAGGACACGTGGACGTCTACCTGCCACCTCTGCTCTCTGCTTGCCAGCCTCGCCATAAGCAATGGGTAAGGGCGAGGAGGGTAGCTCCCTTGAAAGGTGGATTTGAGAGTCGTCCCTTTCTCAAGGTTTTTCTAGCCACAAATGAGGCACGATTCCCATATTCCCCCCACCAAAGTACCTCTGATGTGTGTCCTTTCTGAAGACAGCTGCCTGCCTCACACTTCTCGGCTCCCAGAATACCTAGCATCCCTCATACCCACAGCAACATAGTAGGTACTCAAGCAACATACACTGAATGAAGGAATATTCATGAATATGCAAAAACATGTGCTGCCAGCTTGAGTACTAACTCCTTTTAGGAAACAGCCAAGGGATGCTCAGAGTCATGGACAACTTTCTGAAATGTGTGTGCAGACTTCCAAAGATCCTGTTTTGGTGTTATTAAACACCAAACTATTGAGAACTATTAAGTTCTTAGGGCCACTTATTAACCAAAATGTTCTCCAATAATGTGACTCAATAAAGTCTAAATTCCACGACTTCTCCCCGGGGAACCTCGGGTCAGTTCCTCAACCTCTCTAAGCCTCAGTTTCCTCATCTGTGAAATGGGGGTTATGAGAGCACCCATATCACAGGGTTGTTGGGAAAACTGATGAGAGTTAAGCATTGTGCCAAGTAAAAAGTACGTATTCAGTAATAACAATATCTGTGTCTTCTATTAAGAAGGCTGAAGTGTGAGATACATTTTGGGAAGATTCCCATTAAATGAGAGTGAAAGATCGTTTCAGAGCTGAAATGGGAAAACTTGAGCTATCTGTAACTTTACTTCTGTGAAATAGCCCATTTTCCGACACAATCAAATAAATAAAGCATCACGGTATAACAATAAAAAAAAATTTCTACATCCCAAATCAAACACTCCATCTCATTTCACACGTATTTCAGCTCACTGTGTTATATCCCCCATGTGAAAACTTATGATTTCCCAAGACTCTGATGGAGAAATGGCAGAAGAGATGACCTGACAGATCTGTAAACGTGCCAGCCCCTTGGATGTGGCTTCAACCTAGGTGCTTGTTGCGCTGCTCCATAGGGCAGCCTTCAATTTCCATCCGGTACGAACCGGGTGCAGTGACTACAAATGAGGAGCCAGCGACTCGACGCCAGAGAGGAGGGCTAAGACTAACCTTACAGAGCCAGTAGCACCGTTTTCTCAGTGAGGCATGTAGTGATCCTGTCAGGACGGAAACAGGAAGGAGGTGTGTCCCACGTGAGGGGGTGGGTCAGTGTTGTTTATCTCAACACAGAGAGGAGCTGAGCGGTGCTTACATCAGACCTGCTGCATGGTGCCTGCCCATATGCCTCCTCCTCATATGGACCTAGCCAGCATTTACTGAGGGCTCCATTTGTGGTGGAAACTGTGATAAACATTTTCCTTTCATTGCTTAAGACTCAACAACAATGAACTATCATACCCACTTTTCAGATGAGGAAACTTAGACTCAACAAGTTACTTGTATAAAGTCTCATCTTTGGAAACTGTCAAAGTCAGGATCCAAATCCAAGCCAAGTCCAGACCCCCGGGACCTCACAGATGATACCCTATTCCCTCTTTACAGGGACTTCATCCATTGCTCTTGATGAAGGGGGCACATCCAGGGGCCACATTTATAACTTCCTATCTCTTTGCCAGCTGAATGCACCAGTGGTTGGACCCAGTGCTGGAGGAGTGACCATTCCTAGTTTAAGCAGGAGCCCATTCAGCATAAAGTAAACGAGCTGGTCCAAGAACTGGAACTCAAAAACTATGAACTGGGAAACATGCATCAAGAGGACAACTTGGTACCAGAGAGGATGTCAAAAGACAGAACTGAGCTGGGTCGCAGATCCAACCCAACAGCTTCCACCAGGGTTAGCTATACACACCTCACTGCAGAGTTACCAAGGATGGAAGAGACCACTCTCTCCATCTGTGGTACCACCTAGCGCTATGTGCCTCCTGCCGTCAGATATCTAAGGGGTCCTTGGATACTTCACATGTGTGTTTATGACAGAGCTTGCCATTGGGTTACAGGTGTGGTTTCTGCCTCATGAACCCAAAATACAAATGAAAACAAATACCATAATCAATATCCGTAAATCACCCACTGGACAACCATTAATGACCTCATTTATTTTTTTTTTTCAAGCAAAACCAGTAACATTGTTTAGAGATAATAAGTTCCTTGCCCAAGATCACACAGACAGTGAATGGTGAAGTCAGGGACTTAAACTTGGGTCTGTCAAACACATTTTTCTTCCCACCCCCTTCTGGAAAAAACACAGGGGCATATCAAGCCATATATCGTCATTATAATAGTTTCCAATTTTCTCTAAGATTTTATTTTCAGCTGGAAATTCTGAGGGGGTGGCCATGACTATGCCTGGTGATTCAGGCCCACACCAGGGGTAATTGTCAGGTGTCTTTCTTGCTGACTTTTTATGTGGCTCTCTTAAACATCTGAGAGAGCTGCAAAAAGAAATACTGCTGCGAGGTGCTTGATGCAAAAATGCAATCCTGTGTTTCTCCAAGACTGATATAGTTATAAACGTAAGGCTTTTTCTCCCTCCCACACTAAATTATTAGTCAAATAAGAGGCTTAAAGTGTTATGACTGAGATTTACAGGGTTTCAGGCAGGTACCTCTCTGGTACCAACAAAGTGATTCAGCTTTTTATATATGTATATATACATATATATCATGTATATAGATATACACTTTTTCAGATTCTTTCCCAGTATAGATTATTAAAATATATTAAACATAGCTCCTTCGCTATAGTAGGTCCTTTTTTAAATCTATTTTATAGACAGTAGTGTGTATCGGCTAATCCTCAATTCCTGAATTTATCCCTCCACCCCCTCCCCTTTGGTAACCATATGTTCGTTTTCTTTGTGAGTCTATTTTTGTTTTTTAAATAAGCTCAACTGTATCATTTTTTAGATTCCACAGATAAACGATATTGCATGATACTTGTCTTTCTCTGTCTTGCTTACATCACTTAGTATGATGATCTGTGATTTCATCCACGTTGTTGCAAACGGCATCATTTCATTCTTTTTTATGGTTGGGTGATCTTCCATCATATGCATGTATGTATCAGGCGTGTGTAGGTGCTCAGTCACTTCAGTCCTGTCTGATTCTTTGTGACCCCATGGACTGTAGCTGGCCAGGCTCTTCTGTCCATGGGATTCTCCAGGCAAGAATACTGGAGTGAGTTGCCATGTCCTCCTCTGGGGGATCTTTCTGACCCAGGGATCGAACCCATGACTCTTAAGTCTCCTACACTGGCAGGAGGGTTCTTTACCACTAGCACCACCTGAGCCACTCATCTGTCGATGGACATTTGGGTTGTTCCCATGTCTTGACTATTGAAAACAGCACTGCAATGAACATAGGGGTGCATATCTTCTCAAATTATAGTTCTATGCCCAGGAGTGGCATTGCAGGGTCAAATGGCAACTCTATTTTTAGATTTTTAAGGAACCTCCCTAATGTTCTCCACAGTGGCTGTACCAGTTTACATCCCCACCAACAATGTAGGCGGGCTCCCTTTTCTGTATACCCT